TAAAATAATTCATAAATCAATGAGAGATCACTTCATTAAAAATTAATTCATTAAAAATTATTAATAAAAATTATAAATAAAAAATTATCAATAAAAAATTATTAATAAAAAATTTAAAAAATCAATAAAAATGATGCAAGTTGATACCAATTCTATAGAAACAAGAAAAATATATAATGTAATAATAAAACAACCAATTAATAAAGGGGACTTCTAAAAACCAAAAATATTTATAAATAATTTATAAAATTCAGTCCATAAACACCAATAGGTCCAAATCAACATTTAATCCTCTTGGAAAAGTGGTTTTAAGTCTATGAATCCACTCTGTTTCTTTCATGGCTAGCGCTTTTTCCGTGTCACCCCCTCTCCAATGTGGAATTATCGTATCTATCCCTATGCATCTAAAATCTTGGAAACTAAAATGGGTGCAATTTATACAATGTTTGGGAACACTATGTTTTATATTTCCTCTTTTTATCCCATTAAAGTGTTCCAAGATTCTAATATGGAGTTTTCTTATTGTACGACCCACATATTGTATGCCACATTTACATTCAAGTAAATAAATTACATTTTTTGTCTGACAATTTATAAAAAAAATAATTTTAAAAACTTCTTTAGTGGCAGTGCAGGTAAATTCTGTTGTTTTCTGTTTTTGGAATTTACATGTACTGCACTGCCCACATTTAAAAAAACCCTTTGGTTTTTTTTTAAGGAAATTACCCGATGTAGCTTCTTCTTTAGTGGGTTTGATACGGGGTAAAGCGCTTGGAGCTAAAATAGATTTAAAATTCTGGGTCTTTTTGTAGATAATTTGGGGTTTACTTGGTAAAATATCCTTTAAAAATTGATCTTGTTTTAGAATGGGCCAAAATTTCTTGATAGTTTTCTCTACAAGATGAGCTTTATTATTGTATCTAGTTAAAAAGGAGATACTGTAATCCTTCTTATTTTTCTTATATATCTTTTTATCTTTTAAAAGTTTATTTCTATCTTTGTTTTCTATCTGTTTTTCTGAATTGATCAAAAGTTGAGATGGATAATGTCTTTTTTCAAATTTTTTGTTTAGCATTCTAACTTGTTCTTTAAAATCACTTTTGTTAGTACAATTTCTAAGGAGTCTCGTTTGTTGTCCCTTCGGTATATTATTCAGCCAATTAGGGTGGTGACAGCTAGAATATTCTATGAAGCTGTTCCCATCCGTTGGTTTAAAAAAAGTTTTATTACAAACTACTCCTGATGATACAAAGAAAGAAAGATCTAAAAAATTAATACTCTCCGTCTGAATTTCAGCCGTAAAACGCAATCCATAAGTATTATTATTGATATATAATAAAAATTCTTCTAAAAGAGACCTATCCCCTTCCCAAATAATAAGGACGTCATCAATATATCTTCTCCAGAGCACCAGGTTCGCACCATATGGATTATTATTCCAAATTTTCTTCGCTTCCCAATCTGCCACAAAAATATTTGCATAACTAGGTGCGAACCTGGTGCCCATTGTAGTTCCTCAAGTTTGGAGGTAATATGTACCTTCAAACCAAAAGAAATTGTGAAAAAGGATAAAACGAATGATGTCTAAAATAAAAGTGGCTTGTGCTTCATGCATATTTATATCCTTTCCCAGAATTTCTTTAATGGCCTCAATACCTTTCTCATGATCAATCGACGTATACAAAGATGAAACGTCTACCGTGGCCCAGATATAATTATCTTTCCACACCATGCCTTCTACCTCTATAATAATTTGATTTGAATCTTTAATGTATGAGGGAGCTTTTGAAACATATTTCTGTAAAAAATGATCTATATACTCTGAAACATTACTAGTCAAAGAGCCAATGCCACTAATTATTGGCCTCCCTGGAGGATCAATAAGTGACTTGTGAATCTTTGGCAAATAATAAAATATAGCCATTTTTGGAAATTTAATAAAAAGATATTCAAATTCATCCTTTTTGATAATATCTTTATTAAAACTTTCTGACAATAATTTAAAAAGCTCTTTCTTATATGTTTCGATAGGATTAGATTTTAAAATAACGTATGTGTCTCTATCATTTAGAATTCTATACGATTCTTTCAAATAATCATCACGATTTAGAATAACTATACCTCCCCCTTTATCTGCCTGTTTTATGACAAGTTCGTGGTTTTCTTTAAGTTGTTTTAAAGCATTTTTTTCTTTTTTAGTGAGGTTCTCCTTTCCATTATTCTTTGTTATTGTCTCAAATTCATTTAGAACCATATCACTAAAAACTGGGATGAAATCTCCCTTTTCCCAAGTTGGAAAAAACTTTGATTTATGTTTCAGACCTGAATATAAAATTGGTGGGGATATGGATTCTGTATTTTCTTTCTCACTGTTATCGCCAAGTCCCTCATCCTCTCCTTTCTTTTCCTCAAAGAAACGTTTGATAGTCAGTTTCCTCAAAAATTTCTGAATATCAGTAAATAGTTCAAATTGGTTAGGGCCTTTTTGTGGGGCAAATTTCAGTCCTCTGTCTAGAATGCTGGCTTCAGCTTTATTCAATTTGTATTTAGAAAGATTAAAAATACCTTCTAGACTATCATAGTTCTTATTCTCTTCTGACTCTTTCAATATTCTGACATTTCTCCCTCCTCCATTTCCCCTAATCCTCCTACGGCTCCTAGGAGTTTCGTATTTTTGGGTGGGGTTTGAGCTGAACTTAGGGGGGTAAATCTGTTCCTCTGATGCCAATAATTTTTTATTGTTGGACTTCTCAAAACTTGGTTCCTTTGACCTCTTCCTAAAAAATCTTTCTGTGTAGTTCTTACACTATCTTTTGTCCTATCGGTCTCCATAAATTTTGATTTATCCTTTCTCTTAACAATGGGATTTTCATATTTCGTTCTCCCAGACTTAATCGAGGTATTCCACTGAACCCTAGATGGTTTTTCAATCTTTCTTCTATCGTCATTTTTATATGTTTGTCTCTCTATATTAGGATAAGTCACTCTATAATTTGATCTATAGTTTTTAAAGTGTTTCTTTTTCCACTCTCTTTGCTTTCCATTTTTGTAATCCTCTTTGTCTCTATTTTTTTTGCGAGCATGCGCGAACTTGATTATTTAAAAAGCCGGAAGAAAAACAGAGACACACAGCCCTTGAAAAAGTCGATCGAACGAAACGCGTCGAGCAGTTACAAGTCTGCCAGTGTCCCTAGCAACTTTGGATCTTATCCAGCTTCAAGTAGATCATCACTGGAAGTTATTGGAACTTTTGAAAATCGGGATCCTACTACAAGAGGGGACTTTAGCCCAGGAAAGGGCTGACAGGCTTTTTTAGCACAATTAAGACATATGTTCTTGTTGTGCAACTACATTTGTGAGTGCATTTGTTTTTATTATCTTATTCTATTTGTTATTAAATACTTCACCATATATATTTTTGTTTTTATCTCCTTATATGCATACCCATGAATAATACATGGTAAATATATTCACATGTTTGTGATTGTGGCACCCCCGGTGGTATATGTTTTTTAACTATACGTATTTGTTTGTATTTTATTGGGACTGGGAGTGATCCCTATTTCGGGGTGATTAGCCTGCACTGTATTTTGCACTTTTCCCCACTTACTGCCCCTTCTTTATATACATTGTTTAACTCTGACTGAATGCCATTTTAAGGTAGTACACAAATGGTATTTTACTCCAACAAGATTGACAAGAATGTATGAAACATACGATTCCACCTGTTGGAGGTGTGGCTCGTGTTTGGGCACATATATCCATATATGGTGGGACTGTCCATTAGTCAAACCGCTGTGGATATGGGTGTTTAACATCATTTATACAGCTATACGTATTAAACGTAATCAAAATCCGGTTATCGCCCTTTTACATCTGAATTGGCAATTAAAGTCGCACGAACATATCTGCTTTGTTATACATTGTTTTGTTGCTGTCAAAATTAATATAGCCAGACAATGGAAGTCTTCTAATTTATTCCAGAAATCCCGTTCGATTGATCAAATTATATTTCAGTTAACAATGGAAAAAGATATTATAACTAATACCACTGCTCTTTCAAAAAAAAACTATATGGTACTCAAATTGGCTTCAAAAAATTTCCAATATTTAATGGTAACATATTTCTGGTCCCTTTTTCCCGTTTTTCTCATTTATATATAAAAAATACAAAAGAAAAAAAAAGGGAAAGAAAAGAAAGGGGAAAGAGAAAGGGAAAAAAGGGAAGAAAAAAGAGAAAAGAAAAGAAGGGGAGAGAAGAAGGGAAAGAGAAGAGAAAAAGAGAAAAAGAAGGGAATATTGATATATTAGTAAGAAAGTACTCCTGCTCTGTATAGGTGTATAGGTTTACTTGTGTTGTCTTGGTTTTGTATTTGTCTTTGTTTTTCTATGTGTATTTGATTTATTTTGTATAAATAAGAAGATTTTATATCAAATGCCTGATTGTAACATATTAACCGAATACTTCTTTGTATTGTTACTTTTTTGTCATATATGATATACTAAAACATTTTTCAATAAAAGATTATTATTAAAAAAAAAAGAAATTCTTAATCAAACAGAATTTGCAGTAAAGAAAGTGTAAACATGAGATAACAGGCTGTGTAAATCACATCATTGAGCATGATCTATACATCAAACTTCTTCATGAAACTAAAGTTGTTTTGGTGACTACAGTGAAATTCACCATTAGACGCTTACTTTGAACCACAAAAACCATCTGGTAATATAGAGTTCCTCTACTGGCCTTTTACATTGATCTATTCAATATCTTTATTCAATGATAAGAATAGAGAAAATGCTAAGTTAAAGCAAGTTTTAGGGTTAGTGGTTAATTCTAGAATAAAGGAAAAACTCACAAAAGAGGCAATAGCAAGGTCACTGTTCATTGCCAGGTTTGAAGCTAAGGCTATGTAAAAGTAAGGTATGAAATAAACTTTATTTTAACCTAGGCAGCTATAGGCTTAAGAAAATGTGTTTTGATACCTTCACCGCAATGACTTACCTTAAGTTCTACAAGTATGGCTATGATCAAGCTAGGGTTCAATTTTCATGATAAAGCTAGGGTTAGGGTTAGAGAAAGTATTAGTGCTAGACATTATTTAAAGGTAACTTAAATAAACCTAGTAAGTGCAAAGTTGAGGGTAAGGAATGAAATTAAGATTATTGTTGATGGTAATGAAATCCAGCATTAGAAGTTTATTTAAAACCACACACTTAGCCATCTGGGAAAATATGATTCCTCTATTGGCCTTTTACATTATGCAAAACACAGATTGGCACTATGCTACACACATTTTGGAATTGTCCGGCCCTGGGAGAATACTGGGACCGGGTGGGGAAATTTATCTCTGATACCACACTCTATAGAATACCAAATAAGCCAACCAGCTATTTTCTGCATATCATCCATGGGCTGATACACCACCCCAACCACACAGTATTGCTCATCGTTCTGACGGTAGCTAAGATAAACTTGGCGTTCCACTGGAAGAGCACGACGATTCCCTCATTAGATACTCTCATACAGAGGATGAATACGATAAGTATTTACGAGAGAATGGTTAGCAAAACACAGGGTTGTGTAAGTAGGTATGTGAGAGATTGGGAATGCTGGACCACAAATATTGGAAAGGCACAGGACAGCAACGCTAACAATGAGGAAACTGATAGGAATAAATAGCTTATAGGGCACCACTTTTGTGTGACTTGAATGTCCGACCAAGCTCTAGGGTTCTAAGGCCAAGGTATGTGTCACAAGAACTGTTGCAAAAGCAATATCAATGTGAACCTAACTCCCCCACACCCCCCTTTTTTCCCTTTCTGTATTCCCCTCCCTCTATGTTATCTTTCTATGGTATTCTTATGTTTTAATGAAGCTAATAAGGCTACAATTACCGGAGGACAACAGCATTATACGTTTAAGCGAAGCTTTGTTGTCAATCTAGGAAAAATAGTTGTAAATTGTCGTATAGCAATTGTTTACTCTGTTATATGAAAATGTTACAGTTTTGATTTTATATGCATTGATAACATTCTCTAATAAAAAAGATATATGGAAAAAAATCTATGCCGTTAATATCTCATTTATAAGGGTGACGGGTGATGACGTGGAGCGTGATTGCGTGTGAATGGGCAGGGACGCTGATTGTCAGGGTCCGAAGACCTCATGGAACCTGGCATACCTCCAAGAGACTCGACAGGGCAGTAAGAGGCTACTGATGTACAGTCGAGAAGGTAGCGCTACTTATAGCAGACGGAGACTATTAATTGGTGGAGTGGAGCCGATACTCACCATAGTAGGTGAATCTCGAAAGGAGTGAAGCACTAGACAGACGTTGGTGTCTTGGCTGAGGGAGAAGGGGAGATTTCTTACAAACAAAAGCTTACTTAATCCAAGTAATTCAATCACTTTAAAAACCTTGTTTTTCACACAATTATTCACTCTTTTATATAATATCTCGATACATGCATTTATGACAAAACCTCCAGAGATTATATTGTTATATATTGTGGTTAAAGCATACTTAAGTTTCTTCATTTGATAAAAAAATACAGGTTTATAAAATCTGAATTAGATCACTGAGGTTTGATTTTCTACCCTACTTAACCTATGAAAGTGAGGTATTTTCTGTGAATAAGAAATACTGAATCTCTTGCCACTTATCCAATAATTTACTTGAATGTGGTGGAAGTTGGTGTCCTAAAAGAATTCTTCTTTTCCCTAATTTTTTAAGAAGCTTGCTGAACATATAACATTAAACACTTGGAATTGGAATGTATATACCGATAAAGATTGGTGAATTTGACTAGGTTTTGCTGAAGATACTACTTGTACTAAAAGAGTAATCAAGAAGCTATTTTAGTTGGTTTTTGGGGGGGGGTTGTTTTTTAAAAAGAAGAAACTGAAAAAGGAAAAAAAAAACTTACAAATATTTGAATAGCATACTCCATTGGGGGTACAACAACTAAACGAAGAACGTGACTGCAAATAAGTTTTGTAAGTAGAATACAATTGAGAAGTGGAATGAGTCCTAAAAAAAAAGAGACCACGTGAGGTAGATAAAGTTGAAAACACAGAGAAATCTAAAACAAATATCACTGGCAATTTTTTTTCCCACCAAAATCAAATCCATTCATCTCAAAAGAACAGAGAAGAACATGATCTCCGGATCATGAAATATCCACTGCTTCCATTTAATTAGAAAAATCCCAGTCTACTAAATGTAAGACGGTTTCACAGGAAAACTTAATTACCGCTCTAGATGAATTATTTGAGAAAATTCACGATCATTTAAAATCACACATCGCAGCCTTAAAGTCAGAAATTAGAGAATTGAAGCAGAAAGTAATAATACAAGACGGCATAATGGAGGACATTTGACAAGAAGTAAAATTTCTCCAAACTCGTAAATTCAGGTTAAGCTTTTGGAAACTAGAACCACAAAAATGGAAGATAGATGCAGAAGAAATAATATGAGATTTAAAGGAATATCTGAAGACATTAAAATAGATAAGATGGAAGAATTTCTAAATTAATATACTACTCAATTTCTAGACCAACAAGAGATTGGCCCAGCCCTTTATGAAAAATTTAATGAAATCCATAAACCAGATCATGTTAAAGCTACCGAAGCAAGAGACATGATCGTTCACTTTCTAAATTGTGCAGTTAAAGACGCCCTGATAAGAAGAGCTCAATACAAAAAACCTCAATGTCCTAAATACACGATGTTTCCTAATTTATCCTTAACCACAAGAAATAGCCACAAATGATTCAAAGATATGACCACAACTCTAAGAAATAAAAACAGCCCCTATAAATGAGGCTTCCCCACTAAGCTTTTGATCCTTCATGTTGATAAAACTATAATGATAAATAATCTCACAGAAGACCTATCAAGAAGTGGCATCATATCCTAAGATACTCTGACTGATTATGTAACAAAGGAAAAGTTATTATAAAAGGGGAGACCGGTTGTTTGAAATAAGATATTGAATTATAAGAACAAAACTAATAAAAGTAATATCAAAAAGTAGGAAACCTTCCAATATAAAGGAAATGGAAAGAAAGAAAGGAAAAGAAAAAGCAAGGACACACAAAGGGGGAGAGAGGGGGAATTGTGATCCCACGATTTAGATTATCACTATATGAAAAACTGAGAGGGAAAACTGTTTGAATTGAATTCACTGCCCTTACATATATAATGGGTTTTTATCACACGTATGATTCTAATAAAAAGTTATATTTGATTCTAAACTATAATAAAAACCTTTTTCAAAGAGACAATCTTAGGTATCCCTTTCCCTTATACTCACATGTAGATCATTTTCTAATCATTAAGTGTATTTTAATGAAGCATCCTAAATGTTTTTATAAATGTAATCTTAAATCTTCTAACAATAGTTCTTTAGAAACTTTTGCAAGAAATATTATCTGAATATAATACTAATAATTTTCATGTCGTATCTGGTTTCCTTCTATAATAATATTGTATTTATTCAATTGTACTCCTAACTATAGATTTACTCATTGATGAGTTTTACAATTGAGTTAACTTTCTCCATCAACTTAAATTTAAATTTTTAATATCCTCCCAAAAAAAAATATTTGGACCTTAGATAAAATGGAAACAAAAGTGCTTCCCCTATCGCCCTTGCCAGGTCCAGCAATTACACCCTAGCGTAGTGGCTTAGAAATGTCTTTATTGCTAGGGACTAGCCTAGTCTTAGACTATGACTGTGAGATGAATGGAATGATAGGATTTAGAATAAATGTGTGTTTTGGGTATGAGTTGGGGGGATGACTTGGCCCCCATTGGGAGCAAAATAGAACATATAGCATCATGGATCTTTCTTGAACATTAAGATGCTCTCAATAAATTCACAGGGACTAATACCCCTCAGAAAACAGGATTTCTCAATGAAACTCTCTTAAAAGAAAACGTAGACATTTGTTTTATCCAGAAGACTAACTGGAAAGGAGTAGCTACCCATAGGTGGATATTTCATAAATATCCATTGACCTTTACTTATTGTTTACAAAACAAAAAGAAGAGGGGAGTAGCGATATTGTTGTCGGCTCGTTTGAAATTTGAATTGATCCTAAAGCAAAAAGGCAGGTATTTAATCATAATATGCAAGATAAATGAAATTGTATATATACTAGTAAACATATACGGTCCTAATATCTATTCATACCGATTGTTTCAGAAATTATTCTCGAAGGTCTCTAAAATTCAGAATGGGAAACGTCTAATAGCAGAATATATATATATATAACAGGTGTCAAATTGGATAAAACATATCATAAGGCCTCTGATGAGTATTCACAAGAAGGGAAAAGAATAAGCAGATATTTTCAGGATGTTCTGGTTGATCACAACTTAAGTGACATTTGGAGGGTCCAGCATCCTGGAGATAGAGATTTCTCCTTTTTTTCCCCCAAGGTTCACAAAGTATACTCAAGATAGGTCTCTTTATTAGTGATTCCGCCAATTTACGTTACTGTTTTATTTCTAAGGTCGATATTATTACCTGGTCGGATCACACTCCAATAACATTGGAGACAGGAGAGGATCCAGATGTGGGAAACAGAACAGCCTGGAGATTAAATGGAGTATTTATTGATATCAGAAGAGAACTGTAGATTTTTACAAGGTCAAGTAAGGGAATTTCGAGATTTGAATGATAATGGGGTGCATTCAATAGTTGAAGAGTCAAAGACTTGATCAAAATGTGGAGTAGAAATAAGAAGTTCACGGTAAAACCTCTCAAAGATTTATACATATCCCTGGCACTACTAGAAAATGAAAATAAACAGAAAATTAATCCAGAAACAATAACAACTCAAATAAAGAATCTTCAATGAGAGATTAAACAGAGATTAGAACATAAGACTTCAAATGCAAATTTAAAATGTAATCAACACTGGTATTATGAAGATTATACGGTGGGTAAACCATTTTCTAATAAACATAAATTTAAGGCAATCTGAACACCCATTAGGAAAATAATTCAAGGAAGTAAGATGCAATTATCTCTTAAAGCTATAAGTAAAGCCTTTGGAGACTTTTATAAATCTCTGTTTAATCTATCACACATTTCCCCACTACAACCTTAACAACATTTTTAAACAAGCTTAAACTGCCAAAATAAGGTAAAATATTGCTTGTAGAATTTAATTCTACAATTTCCAGGTGTGTTCAAAATCTAAAATCAGGGAAAGCTTCAGGCCCGATGGCTATACAGCACTCTTTTAAAAAAAATTGTAATCTTTGATCTCTTGGACGCTCTTTAAACTAGTCAACGGGATAAGCAGACAGATGGATTTCCCTTCAGAAATACTCCAGATCACTGTTATAAAGACTGTTATGGTACCCTCAGCATCAAATGCAAAAAACGCCGTTTAGTGAATCCTCCCCACTCGCAATAGCATAGGCTGCATGCGTATCCAGTACAATCATGCGAACCGCAAGCAAGGGAACACTGCAAACTCACGAACGGGATCCGTACGGGCACTTCACTCCACAAGCTCCAAACTTATGAATCGCCAATAGCAGCCGAACGCATATATCTCCTGTTAAGACACCCCCAGTGTCTTTAAGCAAAACCGCCGTTTAGTCGACCTTCTCCGTCTGTAATATCAATAAGCTCCGTTCGCATAACCTGTAGTGCACGAACCAACTGCAGGGGAAGCGGCAATCTCCCGACCGGGATCCGTGAACGGCTCCAAACTCCCGAACGACAATACACGAACTGCTGCTAGCCG